AGAAGAGCACCGCCGGCGTGGTCCTGCGAGTACGGAGAGTGTCAGGGCACGGGCTGGGAGGAGGGGGAGGCCTGGCCGGGGACAGGGAGCGGAGGGGATCCCACCAGGCAGGCCAGGGGGGTCCAAGGCAGGAGAAGCCGGCGGGGGACGGGCAGGGGGCACACGTGCCTGTAGAAGGTGAGCATGCAGCCCGTGATGGTCATGTTCATGGGCACCTGCGCCGACATGCGCCCGACCAGCACCATCTTCTCGCCCGTGTCGGGGTGGAAAGCCGAGTCGTAGATGTACTTCGCCCGCCACAGCTGGTCCTCAGTCACGCCCGCGGGCACCTTCCCAGCCCTGCAGGGACCAGAGCACCGGAAAGGGGTCAGGGCACGGAGACCCGTCTACACCAGGGCAGGGGGCAAAAACCTGTTTACACCAGGGCAGGAGGCACGGTGGGGGCCCGTCTACACCAGGGCAGGGGGCAAAGACCTGTTTACACCAGGACAGGAGGTGAGGTGGCAGGGTGGGGGCCTGTCTACACCAGGGCAGGGGCAAGGGGCAGGATGCAGAGGCCCGTCTACACCAGGGCAGGGGGCAGTTCCCCCCCACCACGATGCAGGGGCCCCGGGGGCGGGCACCTGTAATCCTGGACCAGCCGGCGGGCTTGCTCCAGCGCGGCGCCCGACAGCAGCAGGTTGCGGGGGTCGGTGACCATGAAGAAGTGGCGGGCGCGCCCGGCGAAGGTGCTCTGGTCCCATCGCGGCTCCCGGAGGTCGATGTGGGGGGGCAGCGTGCCCGCCATGCTCTGGGGGGCACAAGCACCGTCAGTGCCGGGAGCAGGGCTCGGGGAGCCGGGCGGTGCTGCAGGAGGCAGGGCTTGGCCCGGGGCAGCTGCGCCGGCGCCAGCCCAGCCCCACGCCATGGGCACACGCGCTTTTTCCATCGTCGCCGCGGCAACGGGGAAAATGACTCCCATCTGCCCCTCCCTGCGGTCCCCCCCCGCCCACAGCCCATGGGGCTCTTGCCCAGCCCCAAATCTGCCAGGCCAGGGGCCGGGGCGCTGCCCTTGCCCTTGCCCTTGCCCTTGCCCTTGCCCAGCCCGGGCAGGCGGGGCAGGGCCCCGCGCTCACCCCCGGGCCAAGGAGCTGCAGCGGGGGCCGGGGCAGAGGCGGGGGGGGGG